CAAAAGTAGGCAGCCACCTTAAAGACGTGCATGGGCATTGTTCGCGCGAATCCTTTTTACGCATGACTTTAGTGAGCGCGCGCTCATCGTGATGACGTCATTACAATGTTTTGATAAGCAAAATATCATAAAAACGTCTTTAATCTGTTATAGCTCTAAAAAAGCTCTTTCCTTTTTTAAAAGTACTTAGTAATACTTAACTTTAGAGGAAAGGTAAAAAAATCTGACAATGGAATCAAATTGAAATTACTTGTATTGTGCATAATTGGAATAGAATTTCACGTAATTAACGCGAACGCTCCAAATCCACACTCGTAGTCCAATAACATTTATACTTATAACTTTTAAAACAAATTTCAATGCTTGTAGTTTGTATGCAAATTATCCAACAGCAGAGAATTTTCTTGTTTGTAATGCAACAATACGAATCTATTTCCGGAACCGAAAAAAAAAGAGGAAAAAATGAAAGGGAAAAAAAAAAAAAAAAAAAAAAAAAAAAAAAAAAAATTAATAAAAATTAATAAAAATAAATAAAAGTCAAATCGGATTTACCACTCCATGGTGGACGGAAAGACTAAAAGATAAGAATGCCTAAAAAATTTGTCGTCCAGTGTGTCAGGACCATTATCATTTCTGACTTTTAACACTTCCATTTACGATGGCGGATCCAGGATTTTGTTCAGGGAGGGGTGCTGCGCACAAATTTAACCCAGCGAGGGGTGTACCCCTTAGAAAGGGAAAAACAGTATTGGTTATCTTCGAAGTAGGGGCACAAAGTGGAACCAGGGAGGGGCGCGCACCCCCTGCACCCCTCCCCTGGATCTGCCCCTGATTTAGCAAGCTATATTATTAGTAAACAGGGCCAGGAAGAGACTGTTCTATATCCTCATGAAAGGCATCGTAAATTTAACATTGTATATAAAGGTTTATAATGCTGCCGAACAATGGTCAAAAGTAGACAAATAATCTACAATTTAAGGAAATATTTTTGTCTTACCTGCTATTTTCTTATTTGCGTCACTCAGTGGAACATCGCACGCYTTTGCTTTGGGCATTGAACGTAAAAAGTCTGGAACAAAATCATTCCAAAAAGCCACGTACCSAGAACGAAGTTTAGCCTCTATCGCCATGGTCGGTTTAAGAACAATGTACTGTTGGTTGATCAAATCGTACTGAGGCCAAGGTATTTGGGTACTATTTGGTTTATTCGGGTCCCTACATTCGATAAAAATTACAATGTATGTAATTGTGTAATTTATAACAGCGAGTACAAGATGATTTTTTTGATTATAAAGAGCAGCAAAATAAGACTACGCTTTTTTGTCTTAAAAAACATCTTCAGGCCAATTTTGATTGTTTACTTAAAGTTATTTAAATATACAAAACCTTACTGGCACAGATAAATAAAATTTGAAATACGTCATTGTTTTGCCCATTGCTCTTATAGAAATTATTGCAAGCTATTTTTCACATAAAAGCCGGTGTTTCGAATTACAAGGAACAACAAATAACCATAAATGCCTCCTCATACGTCACCGCATTAGCATATGGCATGGAAAACCTTCATAACTACAAGAAGCCGCTCTCAAACTATGTAATTTTTTTGGGTTATTCAACATCTTACCCCATGTAGAATCAATACTGTAAATATTGTCAGAAAGGTGATAGGCACTTTAAGATTTTTAGATGAACGGTGGAAAGTAAAACAATGAATCCCACCTTTTTTCCCCAAAACGAAAGGGACATAAGGGAAATCAGTGAACCCCTTATATATTAGATAAGGACAGAATATTTGGTCGTTATTGGAGATCATTTACCAGGAAAAAACAAAAATTCCGGTTGCAAAAACAAATGGTATGGGATATTACTACCGAAAAAGTTCCGAACACTCGTTCTTCCCCATCACGATTATCCAATTTTCCCCTCTTTTTTTTCATCTGTTTTTCCAAATTGAATTTCCGGTTTTTCTGCGAGGTAAATGGTAAGCACACAAGGTTTTTAGTTTAGTATACTTCTGGTTGAGCTATAGTTGATACAAGTTACGATTTTAATGTCAACCGAAAGGTATTTTTCCTTACCCAGATTTAGCGAAGTTGGTCCACATGGTTATGATGTCACGACTAAAATTAGCATCTTTTGATGCTAGGAGATTAGCGTTCAAGCTAAGATAAAAGCCGAATACGTAGGGTACATCAGCAGCATGGTAAGCTCTTAACCAAGATGGCACACGCTTACCGTCCATATTATAATCTGCTCTGTGTTGCAGCTGATAGAAGTACGTTGGACGGCTGTGGTTGACAAAGGCTTTTGCTGACTGGATTGCTGGTGCAATGAACATAGAGTCAGCAATCATGTCCATGAACATACGACGGTTTCTGTAACGGTCACTCACGTTGGTCCAGTCTGTGTAACGGTAAATCATCGCGGAAGGTAGCGGCTCTGTTTGGTTACGAACGAGCTCAAGTTTATTGCTTTTAATTCCTGCTGTAAAGACATCCCTTTGGATGCCGTCTGTCACGTTCATACCAGTCGATGAGGCTGTAAGTAAATTATGGCAGTAGATGGCTATTCACATTGAAGATAATGATTATAGTGATGATGGCGATGATGGTGATGACGATGATGATAATTATAAAGATGATGATGATGATGATGATGGCGATGATSATGGTGGTGGTGATGACGATGATGGTGATTATGACGATAATGATTGTAGCGATGACAGTGGTAATAATGATGATGATAAGGCTGCAATCCTGTTGATGACAGTGATTTTTGTCGTAAATTCTTCAAATCCTCCCGTATCATTTGCACCCATTTTTATAATAATGCTACCAACACGGGGAACTTCAGTCAATCAAAAAATATTAATCAGACTGTTGGAAATTTGATAGACGAAACCTATGAACCTATTATGGAACCTGCACGTCTTAAATGGGCTCTTTGCACCAAATAGTCACCGCGAGCTGATATATCACTTTAGATAACGAATCAATTGAGCCAAAGGCCCCTTGTGGAAGGCGATGCTGGATGGCAATTAAACTTTAAATCGCTTATTATTCTAAGCGGCATAAATAACACAGATATTTAATACAACAATGAAATCCTATGATGCACTGCGTTGCATATACTAACCTGCTATCGGCCCTTTGTGACAGTTCCTCTTGACATCTCGAGCAGCAARTGCAGATCGCGACGACCCCCATCTCATCCCCTCCAGCGTGGCCAGAAAGTTTACACACGAATACATTCCTCTCTCCCCTATCTCCGGATCCCCTCGCTGTCCACGCTGTGGACGCACACTTTTTTACCCGTATGCATATCTAATCAGCTATTCGTCGGCACTTGGAGAAAGGCAGTAATAGAAAGAGCATACCGCCGATGTCTTTCTGGAAAGCCAGCCACTATCTAAAATAACCTATTGCATAAAACCTAGCCTTTAACTTGATGATAATGGCAAAAAATAAAAACAAACATTGATGATATGATGATGACGACGACGACGACGATGATGATGATGATGATGATAATGATGATAAAAGATGATGATGTTGTCAATGACGATGATGATGATAAAAGATGATAATGTGACGAGGATTGATACTTAGGGTTTGACAGTACGTACCTGACAATACATTTGTTGCCACACTTCCTTCATCATCATTTACTCCAACAATAACATTGACTTTTTCAAAAAGTCCTTTTTCAAGTAACACACTTGGAGCATCTGTATACGAAGAATATAGGAAAATAAGCCGTGCACATTACAATTGTCAAATGGAACCAAATAACAGATGGGATTTACTGTATTCAACGTGCARCTTGTATTTTTGGAGTAGACATGAACATTCGGGCTAGCGTGTATGCAATAAATGCTATGTGGCAGGGGTGGCATCAGTGCTTCTTGTGCTGTGTCTGTCACTGCAGCTTTGCAGTTCATGCCTTGAATTGGGTCACGCGTTCGAGCCTTGACTAAACAGCATATATGAGTTGAGTTTGTTTGATGTGTTGTTCTCTTCCTTTGCCACGAAGGTTTTTGTCTGCGTTCTGGGGTTTTCCTGCCTCCGTAAAAATAAACATGATTTGAATGTTGTGTGTTGTAAATATAGGGAATGTAGCGGTAGTGAGTGTGGATCGAACCTCGCAGAAGAGCCCCTTAATGGAGTGATGGTTATTTGAAATACGTTTATGTGGTATGTGCGAAGTTTTTGTGTAATGTGCGATTTACATATTAGCTACCACGAGGTTGAGAAAAAAGTGTCGAGTGCGCATTGCAGTGCATTTTGGGACTTTTAGGGTACGAATAGACACCATCTTGGAAATATGTCCCCTAAAACAGACCCAAAATGTACTGCGATGTACACTCGTCCCAGTTTTTCATTAACATCAGAATGGCTTATAGGGTGCCATGAATAGCATTGTATGACGAATTTCCATCGCCTTAGTACCATCTAAAATTACAGCACTTGATGGAAAGAAAGAGCGAATACCGACGGAAACACAACGCCATTTCTGTCATTGGATAGTAGAATTGAGTTCTGACAATAACTACAATCAAAGTCCCCTTCGCAGATACCGTCGCCATCTTGAAAAGTAGCTGTTCTTTTGCATCGAAGCGAGACGAACGGTGTGCTTGCAATGATAGAGAATTGTCCAAGGTCAGTGTTAAAAAAGGTCTTTATCATTGCAACCGTTCATCTCGCTTTGATGCAATGGCACGGCTACGTTTCAAGATGGCGCAGGGATCTGTGAAAGAGACTATTAATATAAAAGTACATGTTGACAGAATTAGTCACCTGGTAGAAAGTTCCCATCGATTACAGGAGAAAACGAACCATCATTCACCATGGATGAAGCTTTTATGATCTGGCTGAGAGATTTGGTCTTCAAACACGCTACGATCTCATTCATATCAGCACAACCTACATGCTTGCTAAATGTCCTGCAACGTACAGTAAAAAGACTACATTACATTTATTATATTTAAATTGTGTTAACCACAGGAAGCCCAAAGAATAAAGTCAGAGAGAGAGACGCCTGCGGATGACCATCGAAGCACTAGGGCCGGTATTGGACTAATATGGGTATTTATATAARGAAAAACGGGTATTTTATTTCTTACTCAGCTCCCTTCTTTGCTTCATGGTAGTATGCTGCAGCCCATTTAGCTGTTGCTGCTCCAGACTGCATGATGACATTCTTGAAAAGGCCTTTGGTCAGCGGAGAYAACATGAGAAGAGACACGCTTGAACCCCCTGCTGACTCTCCAAATATGGTCACCTTGTTGGGATCCCCGCCAAATCTGAAAAAAAATCCCACTTGAAGAAGCACAGATCAAATGCAATTACTTTTTCAGTAGACTTCGTGTATACTTAGTTCAATAAAGTTAGTCACCAAAAATTTACGAAGCTGAGACATTATAGCCTGCGTCACATCCGGAATTTTCTTCGTAAATACGGTATTTACGMAGAAAATTCTGGATGTGACGCACGCTAAGACATTATTGCACTTAATTTGTTTAGTAGTTTCGTACTGATTAATAAAACACGTTTTTAACATATTTTTGACAGCCCGCTTAATACGGCCACCTCGTTAAAACGGCCACTTTTGAATGTCATTTCGGTGGAAGGATTAACGTGGTTCCACTGTAGCTTTCCTGTCAGTTCTTCAGTTAACCAGGTCTTGAAAAAAAGTATATTCCATTCCACCCACTGTAACTTGTCATTGGTATACTAGCTGTGGTGAATGTTTCTGTTGTTATTAACGTGGGTAATATGAGGAGGTATCATTACTCAGTGCCAGGGTTTGTTGTGTCCTCAGTGGTTCTTTTACGTAACCAAATTGGAGACGGTACCACCATTTAACGTGGTCATCTGGACTACGGTGGATTTTCATTGTCTACACATGCTCTAATTCATTGACTGCTGTAATTCAAGACTGAGCAAAAATAGAAATCAGTAAACCAGGAATTTTTAATTATCTGTGTGGAAATTTCATGGCCAATACGGAATTTAGATTTAATACACTCATGCTTTGATTCAGATACTCGAAACGGATTTTTCTGCAAGAACAACCGAAGGCAATCAGTAAGGAAAACAGGGCTTTAAAACAAGCCAATTCACGTGAAACAACTACGATAGGCGCTTTCATCTCGAAGTCAACTGCAACACCTTTACTTCAATGGTGTTTATATTACTTTTAATAACCATCTTTTATTTAGCGTCAGTTCTGTTTAGCCAATCAACGCTTTACAAAAATATAAAGGTCAATTATAAAAATGTTTATTAAAAGATTTCAAAACAAGAAAAGTTTAAAAAATACATATTTAGATGAATTATATAAAGTAATAAAAACTAATGTACTGAAAAAGCATTTCACGAGAGCATTAAAATCAGTTTTAATTTAATATTATTAAAATCTTATAAAAAACATCTATGCTATGTATATCATACACATGTAAGTAAAA